ATTCACACCCAAATCACAGGGAGAAAAAAATGCAGTGCCCTTCACACCTAAAGTCAATTTCACTGACCCGCCAGGAGGATGGCATCTGCTCCTTGTTGTCTGATCCATTAGCGGTGAAAGGTTTGCACTTATCCATTAACCCGCTCCTCTCCCCAGCTACCCTCATGACCAAGGAGGGAGCTTTGCAAGAGAGCTGTTCCCTGGCTGTGGAACAAGCCAGAGAAGCTACCAGGGTGGCTCAGAAATCGAACTCGTGACCCTGGCATTGTTCCAATGGGCTGGGGGAAGGGAGTCACAACAGTCCTCATTCCTTTGTTAATGTTGCTTATTTTTTTATTGTTTTCTTTTTTGTTTGTTTATGCTTGTCGTTTTTTTAATTAATAGTGCTCATTCTTTTTATTTTTTAATATTTTTTTCTTTATTGATTTTAGAGAGAGAAAGGAAGGGAGAGGAAGAGAGAGAGGGAAACATTAATGCGAGAGAACATCGATGACAGTGAACATCAACTGGCAGCCTCCTGCATGCCCCCCAACTGGGGATCAGGCCCACACCCCCAGCATGTGCCCTGACCGGGAATTGAACCAGTGACCTCTTGTTGCATAGGTTGACACTCAACCACCCAGCCACACCGGCTGGGCAATAGTGCTCATTCTTAAAAAAACACTTTCAAAATTACAATTATGAGGTATCCAGGGGAAGGACTAGGTCTATGAGATTAACCCAAGGAGCCTTTACACTCAGGGGTATCACTTTGTACAAAAAAATTGTCAACGCCAATATCAAATCTAAAATCTCTCCTTAAAAAATACGTTTGCAGGTGCAGACCACAAAAATCGTTTCAAACAGAGAATAAGGAGCACTACTGGGCACTTTGGCACCTCCATTTAGGTCATTCCAGAGGTGGCACCCCCTCCCAACCCCAAATCTGTTCTCAGAACTTCGAGCAAGAAACGTCGCTGGGGACCCAGGCAGCCTGGATAAAGTGCACTGGCTCCCTGCCAGGGCAAAAAACAAAATAATATCCTGTATTAAAGAAAGATATTTCTCTGTTCTTTCTTCCTCTTTCTTCTTTTCTTGGAAGGGAAAAGAGCGTTTCTATCTTTCATTGTGCACCAAATCCCTAAAGACCACAAATAAATCCCTAAAAGTACACATATTAATGTTAATGCAGTCAAAACAGGAACTGTTAAACACCAAAGCAAGCAATGAAAACAAAAGGATTCCTGCCTTAGATTATATTAGGATGTGCTTAGCTCGAGGAAAATGCTTATCTTGCTGCTAAATAGCTGTCAGGGAGGGGTGATTTTCAGATGATGCCCCAAGGAGTCATGAAGATGACATTTGGAATTGGGATGCTGGGACCAGTGGCAGCACCCAAGGAGTTTCTAGGGGAGGGAGGGGTCTTGAACTCTGCCATAATCTCCATGGAGCCGCACATCCAAAAGCCACCCTAAATAAGCATACAGTCCAAGGAAAACCAGTGGGCTTGTTATACAAAAGCAGCTTCAAATGGAGCCCCCCTGGTCACCCTTCTGGTCAGCCTGTAGTAAAACAGCTGCTATACCAGATATCAGAAGGCCTGGGTTCCGGCCTAGACCCTGCCTTTAGCTATGAAATGGGCAACTAACTGAACCTTCTACAACTCTGTTGTTCTCCACAAAGTGAAATGGCTCAACTGTAGATCCTCTCTAATAGCCTTCCCAGTCTAAAATACCAGAATCTGTATAACCAACTGTTTTTAATGAAGACAGTGACAACTACCTCTTTATGACCAACTATCAGCCCCAGTACCCTTTACTGAGCAGAACTTTCCAAGGGGCTTATATTTAGTTCAGAGACAATGTCACTGGACATAAATGAGGAGACTATTCCAATGAAATTTTTAAAATTAAAATTAATTCATGGGATGTTATTTCTTATCATTCTTTATTCTGAAATTAATGTCTAAAACAGAACAAAACACCAACAACTCTGTCTAGACGGTAGATCAGCTTTCTTTTCTTTATCTCCCAGAGCTGTTCTTCTTTCCTGGAACTAGGGGACATTTTATGAGTTAAAATAAAGCTAGAGAAATAGTAAAAACAGTACTGTCTATAACAATTCAAGAGATCTTTGATTTTTTCATTTAGTTAGGAGTGCTGACTTTATCTGTTTTCAAGAAATGTGTTTTGCTTTTGCTAGAGTAAATACTAGTGACAGGCAAAGAGCAGAATAAGGAAAAACAAATAATGGTTTTTACTGTGGCTCTGGTTCTGGCTTGGCTATTAACTAGTGTGACCTGGTGTTCGTACAGTACTTAATCGTTCTGAATCTCAGTTTACTCATCTGCAAAATGTACATAACACACCAGTCTCCCGGACGCTCCCCTCCACCGCAAGGAGTCAAATGGGATGGGGGGGGGGGAACCACACAGTGTTGGTTCTCTCAACGACTCTCCAAAACAAGGCATTTGCCTCACTTTAAAAAATAAGGACACTGCCACTAATTAACTGTGATGGTTAAACAGAAATAAGTCCCTTAAGTTCTGTAGATCCATAAATCAGGCCTAAAGTAAATGAAGAGTTGAAACCAAAGTTAGGGTTCCAAAAATCTCCCTAAACTGATGGTAACTGTCTTCTTTGAAGACATTGTTAAGTTGCTTCCCAATTTTCAATGTTCAGGTTGGTAAGGAATAGTGCAAAGGGAGATTGTGGTAACTGGGGTTTACTACCAGTCAGACTGTAGGGATCTAATCTCAGGCCAGATGGGCCTAACCTCTCCTCCCATCAGCTGATTGAGGGCACCTGAACCCTTATAGTTGAAACATCTATCAATCTAAACTACCCCCCCCCCCCGCGTCTCCAAGTGGAAAACTACTTCAGAAAATGACCTTACAAAAACTGAATCATGCTTTAGTCCAAATGAATTACACATTAATTAAGTTATAATTATACATTGTGTTACAGGTGAAGGCTGATTTCATTTGCCAATTAAGAAAGGAAGGGCCTCCACCTACACCACTCAAATGTGATTATTTCACTGGGGAAGTGGTGGGTATTTTAAGTTCTTTAAAAAAAAAAAAAAAAGGGGGAAAGGAACTGTTGCTGCCGGGTCAAGAAAGCCTGAGAAGGGAAGCAACGAATAATGAGAATTTGCAGGTAGTAGAGAAGATTCTGGAACTGGTTACTTTCTTGACTATCACCTGTATTTTGCGGGTATGCAGTAAAAGCAAGGTCCCTAGATTCCAAATTCCGATCAATAAACAAAGTCATTAGCTCAGCAGGTGTGGCTCAGCGGTTGAGCATCCACCCACGCACCAAGAGGTCACTGGTTCGATTTGCGGTCAGGGCACATGCCCAGGTTATAGGCCCAACCCCCAGTGGGGGGCATGCAGGAGGCGGCCAATGATGTTCTCTCTCACTGGTTTCTCTCTCTCTCCTCCTCCCTTCCTCTAAAATCAATAAAGAAAAATTTTTAAATAAATAAAGTCGTTAGGAGGAGATCCGGCAGAAGTAAACACACCTAAAGCTGAACTACTCCAGCTCAGCTGCCCTCGGAGTGGGAAGATCTCAGTCCTTTCTAGAATACACCAGTTTCATTCATGTGCCTCCCTCACTCTCCAGAGGCTTGTGTATTGCTTCACTTTTTATTTACACAGTCGGGATGCGCACCCCTCCCCCCCAAAACTCTGCCTATCCACATGGTCTGCATCCTTCAAGATCTTGCTCAAATGCCAACGAACTGCATTCGGGTGTGGGCTCTCTCTCTGGCAGCCAGCTTCCCTGGGATGCGTTTTGTAAACTCAGACCTACTTTGATCATGCCTTGCATGGTACGTGGGTCTTGCCTTAACACTTGCTCCCGACGACAAATGAAGACAGACCCTTGGGAGCACAGCCACGTTCTTGGTTAATTACCTTTTTCTCTCCCAAAGCACCTAGCTCCTTCCACAAAGCGATGGCTCAAAAATACCAGCTAGATTAAGGGCACTATATTTAAACATAAATACGGTTGAGGTTGCCGACTTCATTTGTGTAGCCAAACCAAACCACACTAGTGAGTTTCAAATTGCCTTCATTAGCTCCCTGCTCCCTCGCTGTCGCTGGACAGGCGCTAAGCAATTGTGAAATCACCAAAAGGGTTGCGAGCACAGGGGGAATGAAGGGAAGCTGAGGCCTGAATAATTCTTAAGTCATCATTTCCTGAAGGATGGAGCTCGCTGCTTTGGAGGAACGAAACCCGGGGCAGCGCTTGGAGGAAGACCCCCGGCTCGCCCGCGCTGCAGCGTGGGGACCCCGGGGCCGACCCGCACCCGCGTGCTGGAGCGCCCTCCCGTGGCCGTGCCGCAGCCCCCGCCACGCGCAGCTCGCTCGCAGACCGTGCTCCCCGCGGCTGAAGAAACAAGAGACGGAGAAAAGTTTCCGAGCCAGGCGGTTTGCGAAAGGTCGAAGCCAGGTCAAGGAGCCTGGATGCGAGGGCGTGGCGGGAGCGGCGCCCGGGCTGGCGGCCACCGCAAGAGGTCCTGACCCAGACGGAGCACCCCCACCCAAAAGGGTTCTGAGGTGTCCCCCAGCAGGGCTTGAGGCCTCCAGAAACCGAGGGCAAAGGGTTTCTCCTGTACCCGGACCTTACAGCAATGGGCGGGAGGGGAACCTGAGCCCATACCAGAACGGGATGACCCTCCCCCCCGGGCACCCCAGCTACCAGCGCGCGCGTGGGGCTGCTGGGTTTGCTATATTCATTTTCTTAAATGGAGAAAGGGGGCGCAACGACTCCCTTTGGTGCATTCTGGTCCCCAGTAATGTGGATCTGGGTACCCCTAAAAGGGCCCACCTGGAGCCCGCTGCCTCCTCCCGCTGGATGACAAGTGGAAACGGCAATTCTCCTTCCTCCCTCCCCTCCAGCCTCCTGGTTTGGGAGGTAACGTTCTACCAGGTTTCCCTGCCGCCAGTAGCAGACCCGCCGGCCGCGGGGTCCACGGCCCCCCGGGGCAGGGGGCGGGCGGCCGGGCGCGGCGCTTACCTCGTCCACGGTGAGCGGCATGCAGATCCGGTACTCCTTCAGCAGCATGGTCCTGCCGGCCGCGGACCACCGGAGCGGGAAGCGGGGGCCGCCCCCCAGAACAACAAGGCTGCCGCCCAGGCGCAGGGCAGGGAGCCCAGAGCTCCGCGCTCGGAACCGGCGAAACAACCCAGGCTGTGCGCTCAGCTCCTGGCTTCCTCCTCTCCGCCCGAGAGCATGTCAAGGTTTGGGTCCGGGTGTTTGCGGCTCCCCCGCCCCCTTCTTCGCCGAGGTCTGTCCTCCCGGAACGCGGTGTTGCAAAGTCAAGGAGGGAGGGAGCGAGCCCCGCTGAAAATCGCTCTGATCTGCAGCCCCAGGCGGTAGGAGCGGCCGTCAGATCAGGACATGCCCGGTGGCGGGCGAGGGAGCAAAAAAGGAGAGATATCCAAAAATTACAACGAATGCACAAAAGTCACCCGTTGGATCCGCCTCTGAAACCAGACGTGAACCTGGCTACCCCCCTTCTCCGGCCGCTCTGCCCAATGCTAATTCACCAGGAACACATTGCAGCCGGAGATGCTGACTTTCCAGACAAAGGCTCGATGGGCTCCTCTCCCCGGGCGGTAAACAAGATTTCCTGCTCTTTTGAGGGCCGGTCCCCGAGGCGCTCCAGAGCTCGCTGGGGTAGAAAAGGGAAGCCGCCGCCGCCGGTCTCTGCCGGGCTGGGGCCCCGTGTTCTTCCAACCCCTGCTCGCGCTGCGAGGGGCGGGCGAGAGCAGGCTGGCGCCTTCCTTGCCGTCCCCTCCCCCGAGTCCCTCGGCTCCCCGAGCGCCGTGCGTGCCCGCGAGTTTGCAGCCACCTCGCCCGAGCCGGAGAGTCCGCGCGTAGCTGCAGTGAGCCTCGGGCCGGGGAGGTGGGTGCGGGAGGAGCCAGCGCCAGCGAGGCTGACATCAGCAGCGCCGCGGCGGGGAGCCCCATCCGGCCAATGGGGAAATGGCAAAGAATGTGGAGGATTTAAACAAAACAGCATGTCTCTCCCGGGCTGCTGCCAGGCCGCCGGGCTGCCCCGGAGCACAGCCCCATCGGCGCTGGGAAGGATCAGAGAAGGGGGCTTCCTGAGACTCCTTTACCCTTTGAATCTGTTCTCCAAAGTGTCCTGAGGGCCATAGTGCTCCGTCCAGCCACTCGGAAGCTAATGGTTCCAAGGAACAGAAGTGCTCTTTGACCTTTGGCAAAGGTCTTCACAAATACCCACCACAAGTGTTTTCACTTTGGTCCAGCAAGCAAGTCCATTGCTGGAGAAGCCATGGGATTTGAGAGCATGAGAACAAACCCTTGCCTGGTTTCCTAGCTGGTTTTAGAAAAGGAATCCTGGAAAACTGGGGAGTGCGACAGTGTGAACGAAAGTGAAGTACGAACACAAAGACCCGGTAGATAAAAGGTGATAGGAACACAGCCTTTTACCTCTCCTGCCCTGTTCTGCAGTCTGACCGCAGGCATCGAGAGCGACAAGAATAGGTTTTCATGTTAGCACTCCTAAGTTCAAAAAGTCACAGTGAAATGTCAATGAAAATGCCTGGAGTGTGGGTATTTCCTCCATATTAAACAGATCCCTCATTTTAACCACAAGAGGCACATTCTTCAGTTACTCAGGAAGCTGCATGTAACTGCTGAAGTCTGTTTTTCATTTGTCTGGTATTTTTAAGCTTGTTTTTCTGAAGAGTTGCTGGGTGAAAAATGCATCACTTGCCTCTACGCAGAATAACCTGCAAGTGTCATCTTTGCTCCTAAAAATATTTATGCTCTAGAGTCCTGCAGCTACTCACAGAGCTTGGATGGTGATACAGATAGCCTCAATATTACAGTATTTTAAATTACACTTAATAAATAATTATCCAGTGTAACTATGGAGGGCGGTGGCAAAAATCATCCAGATGGCTGGAGAGAATTTATAACTGTGTGAACATGATACAAAGCTTGATAGAAAAATGACACCCTATATCCAGTTTATATTTTAGTGAAAACGCTTTTCTAGATACATGTTTCCCAGAGTTGGCTCAGAAATATTCACAGCAACTAATTAAAGCTAAACCAAATTCCTCGAAGTGGAAAATCTAAATCTGACACTGTAGTGTTGAATAATAACACATAGAAAGCCTGTGATATGGAAAGAAGCTCAAGCTGTTTTTTCTTTTTTCTACTTCTGACTTGAAAACAAGTGTAGTGGCTTCGCTTCGGGCACCTAATACTCTTTCCAGAGCAGGGAGGGAATGTACTGGCTGGTGCAGAACATCAGAATATGTGGGTATGTTCCTGGCTTCCTAGATGTATCCTGACATTGATTCTGTAACTAAGTATTTTACTGATGAATATTATGGTTGAGGAACTACTCTGAATTTTCCAAACTGCAAATCAGATGTCTATGCCTCTCCCCTTTCCCTTCTTGTAAACTGACTTCTCCACTGAAGGTTTCCTTTTCATTTAGTCCATCTGCATGCCTGGTCACATTAATCTTGTTCAAGCATGGTTTTAATTCCAGTGATTCTCTATGGCCTATTGAGCAAGTTCAAATTCCTTGGCAGGAGGATCAAGGGTCTGAATCTACCTTTCCCACAACAGCCGTCACCCTTCCCCTGAGACAAATCTGTTGGCTGGAGAGGCCTCCACTTGGCCTTGAATTTTCTGCTCCAGCATTTGCCTTCAGACAATCCCTCCCCACATCATGATTTTTCAGCAGGGCATTGATAATCTGTGTTTTTGGAAAGTGATTCTGATGGCAGCATTTTGGATGGGTGGACACCAGAAGGGCAGAAGGACACCAGAGGCAGGTTATTCTATTATTATAATACTATAGGAGAGGCTGCCTGGGCTCATTCATTCTGCGCTGGGCCTGCCAGACACCTGCACTCTCCTTTAGCAGCCACATCTCAGGGACCCTGTCCGCCATCCAGATCTTTCATGCAGCCAGATGACACCAATAGTGTGGCTGGCAACATCCATGGAGGAACCATCCTGAAGATGATGGAAGAGACAAGGGTCATCTTCCGCACCCAGAACTGTTACAGCCAGAATGGGGAGCGCTATGTGGCCACTCTGGCCCCTGTCAAGCACGCCCTATTTTTTCTGTCACCCATGTCAGGTGGCACATGTCAGCGCAGAGATCACCTATACCTCCAAGCACTCCGATGGAAGTCCAGGTCAATGTGATGTATGACAGCAGCCTCACAGGTACCAAAAAGCTGACCAATAAGGCCACCCTGTGGTGCCCCTGTCACTGAAGAATGTGGACAAGGTCCTGGAGGTGCCTCTGGTTGTGTACTCCTGGAGGAGGACTGAGGCCCAGAAACTGGAGTGCATGGAGACCAAGTGGAGGAATGGGACATCATCCGGCCTGTCCTGAACCCAGAGCCAAACACAGTCAGCTACAGCCAGTCCACCTTGATCCATCTGGTGGGGCCTTCTCACTGCATGCTGCATGGCTTTGTGCAGAGGTCTCTCCATGAAGCTCATGGATGAAGTGGCCTGGATCTTGGATCTTGGATCTTGGCCACCCGTCACTGTAAGGCCAACATAGTCACAGTTTCTGTGGTCACCATTAACTGTCACAAGACTAGAAAAGGCTGTGTCATCACCACCTCTGGGCACATGGCCTTCATGTACAGTAAGTCCATGTAAATCCAGGTCCTAGTGGACGCAGATCCTGTGTGGGGGACAACTCACAGAAGCGCTACAGGGCCACCAGTGCCTTCTTCACTTATGTGTCCCTGAGCCAGGAAGGCAGATCATTGCGGAGACCAAGGACTAGAAAAAGTGCTTTGAGGAAGGCAAAGGGCACTACCTGCAGATGAAAGCAAAGTGACTGGGCCAAGCTGAGCCTCGGCCTTAGATGCCTCCTCCTACTGCTGGGCCCAGAGTAGCCCCAGTACCTAATCACTTGGAAGTTACCCCCTTGGCCCAAAACCCAATTCATGCTGAGAGCTGGTGTTGTGTGCGGTATTTGTCTCACAGTGTTAACCTGTCTTCCTGCAAACCTGTACACCAAAGCTTTATTTATATCATTCCAGTGTAAGTGCCCAGTACAGTATTGTCCCTGACACTCAAGGCATTCCCTAGAGCCCCAGGGAATATTCCACATGCCATCTGTAATGGCTCCAGCATCACTAATAAAGCTGCTGTTTAGCTAGGGGAAAAAATACTATAAGAGACATATGGAAAAGGCCTGAAGTAACGAATGAAGAAAAGAGAATGAATTTAAAATATTTGGAAAGGACTTGGGGGAGGGGAGAGCAAAGACAGAGCTTATTCATTAATAACTCATTCACACAAAGGTAGGAGAGCGCCATCTACTGGCCAGAAACATTTTAACGTGTTCTAAATCACCTTAGTCAGCAAGTCTGGCAAAGAAAATTTTATCTTTCTTTTCAACCAATGGAGCCCCCACAATATCTATTTCCAAAAAGCCTCGAAGGTGTTGCTATCATCCTTGTGGGTGGTAGGATGTTCGTTTAACAATATACAATCTCATACAATCTACAGCTACTGATCATCACATATTAAAAAATATGGGTGGGTGCAAAGGGCAAAATAGAGGAACAGTCAGGTTACCAGTGAGGTATGATGACCAAAGGGTAAAGAATATTAGCCTATGCATGTATGTGACAACATTTGTTCTCAGTGACAACCTATGAAGGCATGGGTTCTCAAAACTCAAGATGGGAGGAGGTGTATATCAAAATCGATCGTTTAGGAGCTTTTGGAACACGCTCCTCCCACCCCCACATTGAAACCTCTTCTCAGGTTGTATGAAAAAAACTGTAAGAAGGGCCCTGGCCGATTTGGCTCAGTGGTTAGAGCATTGGCCCTCGGACCAGAGAGTCCCGGGTTCGGTTCCCGCTAAGGGCATGTACCTCAGTTGCGGTTTGTCCCTGGCCCTGGTTGGGGTTGTGTGGGTGGCAACCACTTGGTGTGTCCCTTTCACATGATGTTTCTCTCTCTTCCTCCTTCTTTCCCTCCCACTCTGTCTGAAGATAAATGCAAAAAAAAAAAAAAAGTAAGAAGGTCCCACCTTCTGTAAGTCACATTAGAAAGAAGTCTTTGTGACTATTCAAATCGTGCTTTATTCATAGAATACACCTGGTACTTCTCAAGTAAAATATATGGTTCTTCTGGTTTCCTCTTTCCTATTCACTATACCTAAGGTATGTGGGTCCATCCAGGCCCAGTGAAAGTTCTGTCTCCCACACAGAGCCATTTTAGATAACTCTTTTCCTTTCTAGACAACCCAAAACACTTATTTGAACTATTCATTTTGATTCTTGTGTGTGTGCAAGTGTGGCCTTTATATACAAAAGGTCATATACAATACTATAAGAGTTTCATCTGTTATCCAACTCCCAAGCATAATAGTAAGCTTCCAGAGGGATACTGTAGGTACCAATGAATGTCTATTAGATGTATGCATATATTAGTTTAGGATTCTCAACCTCCGCACAATTGACATTTGATACCAGGTAATTTTTTGTGTGGAGATCACTGTAGGATTTTTTACACATCCCTGGCTAGTCTTTACCCACTAAATATGTAGCAACCCCCCCCCACACACACACACACACATTACCAAATACAGTGCTGAGTATGGAGGGGGAACTACTGCAATGAAGAACCACTGTATTAGTGTAACATTCATTAATCTCATCTAAATGGTTAGCTACTCCAAAAGAAGCTTTGGGAAAGACTGACATTCCGTCAAAATCAGGACTACAGAGAAAAGAAATAAAACAAAACGGTTACATCAGAGTGATGTAAAGATGTCCCTTTGTCATTACCATGCTCTGCTTTTTTATTTTTTTCTTTATTGATTTTAGAGAGAGGAAAGAA